GATGTGGATGTGGGTTTCTTCTCTTCCCTCACACCCACACCATCCCTAATCAGAACTTATGGCAGGCCTACGAGAGAAGAAAACGAATTTTTTAAATTATCTCGAATCAATATTTACACTTTGTAGTCTAACATGAAAGTTCGAGGTCGCAAAATTCAAAAGTATGATGATGAGTTATTCTTCTCTTTATTATTGAGTAGAAACGAATATGGACAATCTTGTGACAGTTCATGACATATTGGTTTGTGTAAGAAACTCATTATTATCCAATATATTTTGACATTCATTTGCAATAATGTCTCATATTGTAAAGACTTTACTAAACTTCCTATGTTCACAATGGAATTTCTTTAGAACTAAACTTATTGTATAAAATGCTTTTACATATTCTTCATTTCACTTCTTAAACCAACGAACAACTATTGCATGAAGCTCATTATTATACTATGATTTTATATTTCAAAGCGTTTCTACTTTTATTTTTAAGCTCGTATTCTTTTTTCTTCACAAATACAATTTTTCAATACTTATGTTGATTAATATCAACCAACGAAGCGTAGAATGTGTTATTCTGTTGTTCATGTTAAGCTTGCGTTCATTTACTGTCATTATGATCTGAATAATTCAATATGTATATGTATATCATATATGTATGTGTAGGTTACATAAGCTTTGTTTTAATAGGATTCATTTCATTGATTCAATCGGATTCTTATATGATCTCTATCGTCGGATTGATTCGTTGTCGACGAACCATGATCAGATAACGTCCTATTTTTACAAGAATAGGAACGATAATTTTGAATGCAACATTCAAACCGCCAAAGAGGCCAATAATTGTAGTGACCATGTAAACTAGATTCGCTCGCTCATTAATTGTATAGGTACACGAGACTGTTGCACACAGTGCGTAGTAATGTTCAAAGTTGACTTCAGACTTCCATCGATCAACCATAAGCTTATCGACAAGAGATTGAACGGTAACATTCGGAGACGTTAAATTAGAATCGAGAGGCGAAAATGTGCTGTTCGAAAATCGATATATACTTTTCAGTCTGTCAATACATGTCGCTTCGTATAGACACTCTAGAGTAGATTGAAGTAAGGATTCGAGTACATAGCAACCGACACGAAAACCAGGCACAATCCATTCGTTAATAGCTGCCAGTGATGTACACATAGCATTGGTGATGCATGAACAATTGTTGTTACCATAAGAATAGGATTCCATCAATGAATAGGACTGATCTGTTGCAAAGGGTAGCACATGCCAGTTCGAGTATACAGACGAGACTAGTCCATTGTCTTGAGCTATTTGTCGAATAAAGTCAATCATACGTACAAATGTACGTGGTGTCGATGAGCGAAATTGACCAACATCCATGTTTATCTGCGTTTCAATAGTTTGTCGAGATTGTGCTCGAATGTTTATCAAAGCAGTTGACATGAAAATCGATAAACTATCGTTGATTGTATTTTTGGCTAGAGTACACAGACTGACAAGTAGACGAAAGTGTTGCACAATAAAACGTCGATAATCATCATAAGAGTATTGAATCATGCTCTCGTTTGAATAAATACCATTGATCCACAGGGAATTCTCAACAATAAAATCACTGGAACAAAGTTGATGGTATGTAGGAAATATTGATACAAATTCATTATACGGTATAGTTATATTTTGACAAGGACAATCCAATGTAGGCAAATATTCCGGATTAGATGACAATCGTTCAAAAGTTAGTTGAGATGGATGTTTGACTGTTATAGTTCGAATTGCACGTGTACTGGAAGCGTAAATTATTAGAATAGTAAATGATAGAGCGATTAATAGGAGAAAGATACGAGTAGAGATGATTTCATAACGACGACGATGATCATCATTCCACGAAAGTTCAGTTTCAAATAGATTGAACTCGATTGCTTTCACCTTTATCAAATTCCATAGTGCACGTATCTTGTCTAAGATTGGAGTATGATCTTCAAAATAAAAATAACAACCGAAGTCTACCGTATTTGTGCATTCAAAAACATAAATTTCTTATACCAAAGAAGTCTTTTAGTATTAATTACGTTTTGATTCTACAAACTTTCATTCGTCATACATGAATATTCTATATACTCGAGTAATAGTAATTTTTGCAATATATTTTTACGCATATTGGATCTCACATATATCAATTGTTACTGAAAATAACTGTAAAATGTTAATACCCTCTATAAGTAAGCGAACATTTAAGTGAACGACAATTTTTTTTTTATTCATAGTTCTTGACACATATGTTCGTATGATATATTATGCGTTCTGTCTGAAACATTTTTTATACGAGCTTCTTTTTTGAATGAGAATAGAACCTCATCGTTTATTATTGGGAGATAGCTTTGTAGAACCTGTCTCATTTCTATCAATATTCGTTTTGTAAAATTGGAAAACACTTTTGTTAGTATTATATTTGAATTCGATCAACGGCTATGTATAACAATAGGTTTTTGCTGTTCTTTGATACGTCAACAAAATCAAACTTCAGATATTCTCAACTCAAAAACATTATTCTTGTAGTATAACGGCACAGTAAAACTGTCTTCAGTTGACTCTCTCATTAACCTACTAGGATCCTATTACTGTTGTGTATGTATATTGAAACGAGAGTATTATTAGTCTTTAAAATCGAAAACAATACTTTCAAAACTTTACGTAATTTAACTTGACACATAATATGAAATCAATATGATGAATAAAAGAAACTTCTGATTAGAATAATTTAAATTCTATTCCTATTGACATTCGATGCATAATATTTATTCCAAATCAATATTAATAACCTGTTTCGAGAATTTCTAATCGTTTTAAGTTAACCTAAATTCATGATAAATCGGAAAAATGAAACACTTTCCAAAGTAATTTTACTCGAAGAAAATAATCTCCAAACACTTGTCATTGAATACTACTGGGATATTAACTTCTTTACTGACCATCACTAATTGTGTATGTCAACACAAAAGCTTAAATCATTAAGAAAATGTTTCATCGAATATTCCACGAGAGAGAAAGTTCTCAAATCTACTCCAGTGTAAAATCGACAAAGAAGACGTCAAAACTCATAACTCAATCCATGCTTTGGAAAAAATGACTATAAATTATAACGAACTGGATATTTAGAGTTTGTTATGAATAAATGAAAATGGACAATATAAAGATGAAAGAAAACCGAAATAGTAAAGCAATAGGCAATAATGATGGAAAATTATAGCAATATATGTATACCGTAGACAACTATTTATTCTATTACATTCATTTGACATTTTCCTATTGATGAGCTCCTTTTCTCTAATTTAATCATCCACATTTTTCTACTTTTCGAAGTTTTCACTTATCGACGTTTTGAGTCGATTTGTTCATGAAATATGATTATTGATGAATACTAAAATATATGAAGAAATACCTTCCGTTTTCTAGACTTACTTTAAAAAATCTATAAACATATTGATGTTCTTGTAACCTATTTACTGAGACTTTGATATTTGACGCAGCTTAAAAATTTAAAAGATAGCTGGATTTTGGTTTCTCATACAAATGATGTGAATTTCCACTTCTTTAAAATTTATAATGACTATACTCAAACTCTGCGCTTGACTATATGTTTTTTGAAGTTTTATTTTTTTGTTTCTAACATCTCTCAATGGACAGATCATTTCAGAGAACCAGAAATTCTGTATTAACTTTCTACATTAATGAAATATTTATCAAGTTCAGGTAATTTGATTGTAGATATACTCTGTATCCTTCTATAGATTTACACTGTTATCTCATCCCACATTCACTTGTTGCGATTTAAGTCCCTATCTATCCTACACAATAAAACCTCATACAAAATCATGTGATTACTCAGGGCATCATTTATAGAAATTCGATTTACGAATGAAAATCGTTTCAATTAAGTTAATTTTAGATTGTGCAGTATGTTTTTTCTCTTGAAAAAAAATATTCACATAACGACAACTAACCTGACACATCAGTTGGTGTTACTTGTGGACGCATCCGATTTCGTATCCAATGGACAATTATTGGAACAATAATTTTGAGAGCAACTGAAAGACCACCAAATAGTCCAATGACGATGGCAACTATATAAAGTGCATTATTGTGGAATGTCAATAAATAAGAACATTGTTCGGGTGCACATTGTTGATAATATTCTTCATAACGTACATTTTCATACCATCTTTCGATCATAAGTTCGTTAATCATTTCTTCAACAGTTGTTTTAGGAGAAAATCGTGTTGAATTTGTTAAAAGTACGGATCCATTGATCATCAAATAGTATAATGTATTAGCATTGATTTTTTCTTGTATAGGATCAAAACATGTTCGTTCGAAAAAACATTCAAGTGAAGATAGAAGTAAGGATTGCATATTGAAACAACTCTTGTACATATTCGGAATATTGAATAGAATACCTAGTGGGTAGACAGTAGAATATGATGTATAATTGTACAAACTTATCGTATTCTTGCATTCATCACTAAGTGCACATGAACAATTTTCAATTATAGCAGGTATTGGTACAAAATAGCTGTCTCCGGTGTCATACATCGAAGGAATATTGTACCAATAGACATCATCGTATCCGGCTGTATATGTAGTTGTAGTCAGAGAACGAATGATTGCAATATTACGTTTGAATTCGGCTACTGTGTTTGACTCAAATTGTGTCAATATCTGTTGTGTACGAGCTAATACTTCTTCATAGGATAATGCTTGATTACTAACGAATGATGTTTGATTAAAAATGAACAATTGATTGGAGATAGTCACGTTTGCAATTGTACATAAAGTTTTCAGAGTATTAAAATATGTATGTCCCATGACTAGAAAGTCAGTGCTAGAGAGGAAAAGACCGTGTTGACCTGCATAAAATAGAGCACGTCTCCATTCATCAGATACGAATAAACTTGAACAAACTGGATGAAACAAAGGCCATACTTGTATAAATGAACCATATGGAATGGCGATTTGTCTACATGGACATTTAAATGATTGAAGATTTTTCGCATATAAATCTATGAAACTACTTTGAGATGGTTCATAAACAGTTATCATTTGAACATGAAAACTTAATCCAGTATAAAAACCGATAATAATCATCGAAAAACAAAGAAGAATTAAATAGACGCGTGTCGAAATTCTGCCAGTGACTAATTTAAATCGATCAGTGCGTGCTGAAGCATTATTGAACAAATTCAACTCGGTTATTTTAACTTTTATCCCTTGCAATGTCATTTGAACATGTTCATTTAAGGAATGAGCTAAAAGATAGACTCTCATTGTAATAATATTGCTGATAGTAAATATTAATAGAACTGTAAACAAAAGAGGTAACACAAAGAGCATAGAAATTGTAATCAATATTATGTTGTGCAGGCATATCGAAGAGCAACATAATACTATATCGAATAGGAGAAGATAATTGCTCCGCTGAGTTCAGTTGATATTAGTAACGTAACCAGGTTATAATGTCATGGAGAGCCTCGTTCTCAACATCTTAAAAAGTCTTAATGCAATAGTTCTACATTAAC